TTTCTTTTTGCAATTCTATAATTTTTGCATCACTTATTTTGACTCTCTGGGTTTTTTTTATTTTTTTTAAAGATTTATTTATTTATTTACTGAGAGAGAGAGAGAGAAGGAAGGCACAGAGGGAGAGAGAGAGGGAGAAGCAGACTCTCCACTGAGCAGGGAGCCCGATGTGGGACTGGATCCCTTGAGATCATGACCTGAGCTGAAGGCAGACACTTAACCAACTGAGCCACCCAGGCACCCTGTGGGTTTTTTTTTTTTTTTTAAAGATTTATTTATTTATTTGAGAAAGAGACAGAGTTGGGGGAGGGGAGAGGGAGAGAATCTTCAAGCAGACTCCCCACTGAGCATGGAGCCAGATGCAGGGCTCCATCCCAAAAGCCACGAGATCACCACCTGAGTCAAAACCAAGAGTCAGACACTGAACCAAATACACCACCCAGGTGCCCCTGATATCCTCAATTTTTGTCTGAAAATGTCTTCAATTTTCCTTCACTCTTGATGAATAATTTTGAAGCGTACAGAATTCTAAGTTGGTGGGATTTTTTTTTCTCTCAACACTTTAAATATTTCAATCCATTCTTTTCTTGCTTGCATGGTTTCTGAGAAGCTGGATACACTTTTCAGTTTTACAATTTAGAATTTTTTATAGTTTCCATTTCTTTGCATTGATTCTTTATTCACTCACTGAGATCATATTTCCCTTTAATTCCTTGAACATACTTCCATTTCATTAATTGATTATAATAGTTACTTTAAAGCTTCTTCAGCTAAATCCAACATTTGGGGCACCTCAGAGTTGCTTTCTGATGACTGCTTTTCACCTTGACAATGGGTAACACTTTCCCATTTCTTTGAATGTTTTGAAACATTTTATTGATGCTGAAGATTTTGGATAATATGTTGTCAAGTCTTTAGACTCTATTATCTTCTTCTGAAGAGTGTTTAGTTTTATATTAGTATGAGATTCAGTTATTGGCTGATAACCTGAACTTGTTTACACTTGAATTTTCACCTTTTTAGGACTAATCTGCAGAAAGTTCATTGTGCTGCCCAAACCCTATTTGGCATAGAATCCTAGCAAGTGGTAGCAATATTACCTTTTTTCTATAGAGACAAATGTTGTAGTTTAAAGCATCTAAAGAAATTGAGAATTGAGGCACAGAATCCCAAAGAGGAGGAAACTACTTGGGAAATGAGGTTCTGAATTTGTTTGCAATGTCTTCCTAAGTACAACTCTAAAGCTACAAGCCCAGGCTATAACTGTAGGAATCCCAGCCCGAAGACACCAGCCAGGAGGCTAAAGAGCTGAGCCAACATTGTAGCAAGCATTCAGTGAAGGGAGAAAGAGGCTGGAGTTCAAGTCCTGTTGAGGAGATAAACATCTCAACCCTGCCCTGGAGGGCCAGAAAGTTCTAAAATAGAGTAGCCTGAAAAAAACCCTAAAAGAACACTCAGCAAGATTATGGTGATTTGCTTGCTTGCTACCTGTCATAACAAAAAGTAACCCTCTTTGGAGGAAGATAACATCTTCCTATAATTTTTAATCTACAATGTCTAACATCTATGGAGGGTTCAAGATGCTGGCATAGGGAGATGCTGAACTCACCTTCTGTGTACATGAACTCACCTTCTCCTGTGTACATGCAGCTACATATGGAACAATTCCTTTTAAAAGAACCTGAGAACTAGATGAACACCTGCTCTGCAACAAAAGAAGGACTACAGTAAGATGGGTAGGAGGGGCAGAGACATGCTCTAACCAAAAACCATACCCCTGGCGAAATAACCCACAATTGGGAGGGATCTCAAACAAACAAACCGGGAGCTTTTCCCTAAGGAGCAAGGGGTTTGTACCCCCCACCAGGCATCCCAACTCTCAGATTCTGCACCAGAAAGATGAGCTCTCACTATGTCTGGCTTTGAAAACCAGCAGGGATTACAATTAGGGGAAACATAGAGCTGTACAGAATGAAGATTTCACAATATCCAGTAACAAATAAAATGATGAGTCATGCTAAAATCCAGGACAAAATGACCAAAACAAAGAGAAAAAATGTTTAGCTATAGAAACATCTAACAGATACTAGATTTTCAAACAGAGTTCAAAATTACTATGATTTTAAAAAATAAATAAAAAACAAAATGACTATGATTCATATTAATATATTCAAAAATAGAGGACAAGTTTTAGACTGTCTACAAATTTCTGCAACCTGTGGCTGGAAATTACAAGAACTGAGTTAAAAAATCAGTATTTGGGTTTGATAGCAGATTAGACCCATTAGAACAAAGAATTGATAAAGTGAAAGTTCAGTAGAAAGTATCCAGCTTGAAGAACAGAGAAAAAAATGGTAAGAATATAAGAAATATGTGAATTATGATAAAAAGGTCTAAAGTTTGTTTAATCTCCTAGAATGAGAATAGAGAATGATACACAAGCTGTATTTAAAAATGTGCTAGCTGAAAATTTTCCAAAATTCATGAAAGGCCTAGAACCACTGATTGAAGAAGCTCTAAAAGTCTTATTGCCCCTGTAGGTAAGTGATGTAATTGATTATAGTCAAGTATACAGAAATGTCTTGAATTTATAATTGAGGGTCTCTAACCTACCTTGGAACTAAAACTTCTTAGAGGAGATAATAAAATGAAGCCAAATTAGAAATTACCAAAACATGGTATAAATAAATCAACCAGAATTTATTGAGTACCAATGATATGAGTAGATTTAAAAATATGTTTGAGAATATGATATATACAGCAAACATAATATTTACAGTTTAACTCAAATTATGTTTTAGTGAAGTTTTCAATATAATTTAATAACTATGCATTGATTTACTAGGAATGAAGACAGTGATAGAGAGGGTGGGATATAAGTTGTCTTAAAAGGACAGAGTTGCAATGCATGAAAATGGTGTATTTGTTCCACAATGAAGAAAATATTTGAATTTTTAATTTTCAAACTTAGCTCCACAAAATCCTAAGATTTTTTGGAGATATTTCAGAGATTTTCTGATGAGGGTGAGGTTGAGTATTTAGGTATAATCTAGAAGAAAGAATTTGAACTAAAATAAATAAATTTTATTGCCTAATAAAGAAAGAGGGCTTTAGGTAGATATCAGACAGTTGACAAGTAAAATAAAGTTTTAGGGACAACAAGTACTCTAGATAAAGAAGGATTTGGAAAAAGTTCATGATAGAATATATCACACCAATGTGGCAGTAGACTGGGTTCACTGAAAAAGATGGCCATTGAGAAATTAACTGTGACTACCTACGAGGTTTTGAGAAAGCTGATACATATTATTAAGATGTTTTTAGTTATGTACTGTTTTATGCCCCCTTGCCCTTTTGCCCCAAACCATTAATAAAAGTCCATTTCACACAAGATTATATTGGTAATGCCTTGGTAAATAAAGAAGGAATTAAATTCAAACATCTTTGGGAGTAACGTGCTATAGAAAGAGTTCAAAAGTCACAAAAAGCAATAGGATAAGTGGAGTTGACAATTGAGACCTGAGAGCAAGGATTTAAAATAAAAATTAATGAATAAAATCCCCATGGCCTGCACCCACATACCTTCAGAAGTTTGGACAAGCACTAAACTTCTCATGGGAAATGGGTTGGGATACAAAAATGTACTCAGCTATTAAAAGGATAGGTGCTTATAGAAGGCTGTGGAATGGGGGAAACAGATTATAATTCCCAACATTTAGTAGGCTTGTCAGATAAGACTTAATTTCAAGAGGGCAGAATACTTGTCTTTAGCATATTAATATGATTTTTAAATTCTAGGCTTTTTAAATATTTAGCTATAATAAAATTATCTCTATATATGGTTTTTCTGACCTGGTGAAGGAAGTTAGGCATTCTCTGCTCTGGGTGGGCTTTGTGACTCAGGTCATCATTTCTTACCATTTCTACAAAGTTTAGAAAGTTTGTAGAAGTTATAGAAAATTTATAAAGAATCATATTTCCTAATCCCTCATGCATTATAATCTAAAAACATCTTTTTATTTTCATCTAAATTCTGAGTTTCTAAAGAGCAATATATATATTTTTAATATTAATTGTCTACATTGTAACCATTGGGAAGACTTGTTGACAATGGAATTTCTTGGAGTGTAAGACTGTGTTTATCTTGGATCCCAGCGTCTGAAGCTGAGTTTCATATGTGTTGACTTTACCATATAAATAGGAATCCAGTGACACAGGAAAGGGACAGATCCAGGTTTTATCTGGACAGATCCAGGAGCCTAAATCTTACTGAATTTAGGAGGTTGTCTTTAAAAGGAAAATTTTAAATTGCCAATACAAAATTAAGAAGAGGAATCTAAGAGTCCAGTTCCTAAGCTTAGGCTTCATAAGCTTCATGGAAAACTGCCTCTAATATAAATATTTCTTTTTCTTTTAGTACAATTTATTTATATCATTTTCCATTTTGCTTTACATGTCATTTAATTCTCATGCACCATAATTTATTTTAGTTTTTAAAATATATTGTTATTTTTTCCTCCTAACTGAGGAACAAACCTAAAGAATTTTTCTCATGCTAAAGGTCATACAACAGAGAGACAAGTTTTGGGTAAAGTGGATTAATTACATTTTCAGAGCTGATATCTCTAATCAAATAACTAAATTCCTATGTCCAAATTTAATGTCATCTTTTCAGTAGATACCATATACTTTTCTACATTAGGTATCTGTATTTAAAAATGTTTCCTTTCTTAAGACCACATGATGGCAATATAACTCCAATGACTTAGTTTCAATTTTAGGCCTCTACATCCAGGTAATGCTGAAAGGAGATCTAATTTCCATTTTCTCAGATGCCAAGAGCTTACCTGTCAAGTAATTTGCCAGCATTTTGCCCTAGGGGCTTTAAATTTTTTTTTTTTTTTTTACTTTACCATAGTTTATAACATATTTTTAAAAGTTACAGTTACAGTTTTTGTATATCTTTTTTTAATTTTTTATAAATATTGTGTTGTCTTTAGGCAAACTTGCACAGGGTAAACCAGTCTGGAGTCAAGGACCTTTATTAAGACAAAGACCTTTATTCATTGGAATATGTGAGTATGGAAACACAAAGATGGCAAGAATCATTCTTATTTATTAGTCTCCCTCTTCCCAAACTCCATATAGAGTTTCTTCTCCAATCATTATCTAGAGTGCATTTTGAACAATTAGGATGAAAAAAGAACCACATGATACGGTGGGTCAGAGAAACATTTGCCACAAAAAGAAATGTAAATTTGAAAGTGACAAGTGCTGTGAAGTAAAGTACAAGGTATTTTAACATCCTATGAAGAATCTAGGAAGGTTAGTCAGATGTCAGTTGCTTAAAGCAATGCTGATTGTGCTAAAATTGGAAGGGTCAGGTAGAGCTAACCAGCTGGAGTTCAATGTGGAGAAAGAAGAAAAAGTATAACAATAGAACATAAAAAGTTCTGAAGTTAGACAAGGCCTACATTGATAAAGGGTTTAGGAAACATGATCTGTGGCATGTTTAGACACCCTTTCAAAATAAAGGATAAGTTACCACAATTTGTAACTTGTAGTACTAGGAAAAAAAACGGGCAATGGTTTATAGGCCTCCTTGGATTTTGGAAGGAGCATATTCTAAAACTGGGAACTCTGATAAAGCTAACTTTGAATGCGTCTCAGAGCAAGAAAAGGTTCTCAGCAGTTCCAAGCTGTGGTTCAGGCAACATGCCACTTTGACCATTTGACCTAGCAGATTCTATGATGCAAAAGGTATCTATGATAAAGTTACCATTTTGAGCCCTAATATTGAAAGTTTTAGTGCAGATTATTTGAGTTTGGGGCAAGATCATGCCGTCTGCAACAGAAGAGCATTTTTGGCATTGTGTTAGATCCTAGTAGAGATAGTGTCTGACCATTAGACATCAAATGACTATGTGGTCAGAATATCCAGTCGTGAGCAAGTACTATTAGATCCCCTAAATCAGGTAGACTCAGCATCATCTTAGAGTAATATGGAAGTAGTACATCTGTGTTCAGGTTCAAAAATGTCTAAAGGGCAAAGGTTAGCTGAATGAATACATGGCCAAGTCCCTCATGACACATAGCTCTGTTGCATCAATGCATCAATACCTCTCCTTTGGCACAATTCGTCTATGGCTTCATGGGTGTTTCTTATGACTAGTTGATTGAGGAGGAAAAAGCTCAAGCTTGGTGCACAAATTGATTGACCTGTCATGTAGCACCAAGTAGAGTAATGATGCCACTCTACTACAGGGACTTTTTGGAGTCTACATGAAATATGCTCCAAGTAAAATGCTCCCTGGGGATAGAGTCTTGCAGAGTGCTTCCAGTCTTCTCATTTGTGTGCAGAGAGAGGTGACACAATGTAAGAATTCACAGAGACTCATGAGTACTGGAAATGTCTTAACTAATAGGTCAGAGTCCTGGGATGAGCAAGATTGGAAGATGAAGTGTAAGAATATTTGAGGAGGAGGCATGTGTATGGACCCATGGGAACTGGGACAAACATGTGAATTGTCAATCAAAGGACATCCAAAGAGGTACTAAACAACCAAATAGTTAGGATGACTTAACCTGTAATGCCAGCTCTCCTCTGACCTCAGCCATCCCAGCCCAATCTTGGGCTCATGAATGAATTAAACACAGTAGCAGAAATAGAGGCTATGCCAACAAGATGGAATCCCTCTCACCCTTACCTCTTCCTCCCACTCAAGCTGATCTAGCTATCTCTGCTGCTGAATGTCTGACTTGCCAGCTAAATATACCAATGCTGAGCCCCCAATATACCACAATTCCTCAAGAAGATCTACCAGACACTAAGCAGGAAGTTGATTGCATCATATCCTTCAATTCTAGAAAGAGCATCAATTCATACTGCCTGGAATTGTCTTATATTCCAGGTACGGATTTTTTTCTTGAATCCAATTCTTAAGCCAGTGCTACTATCTAAGGACTCAGACTATCTAACCTTCCATGGGGGGATCTAGCATAACATTCCCTCTGACCAAAGGATTCATGTTTAAGCAAAAGAGTTATGGCCGTGCACCATGAACCTAGGATCATGGTTCTACAACATACTGGTCATGCCATATGCTGGTTCTTCCACTTACTATACCTACCCATAACCTGCTAGACTTACAGGGTAATGGAACAGTTTTCTGAAAATGTCGCTGAGATGCCAACTTGGAGATGACATCTTGTGTGGTTGGTGCACTGCCTTTCAATATTTGGCACCTGCCTTAAGCCAATGACAATTACATGGTATTATCTCAAGTAGTAGAACATATTAGTTCTGAAAAAGAGGGATAAAAGCAGTAATGGCCCTGTCATATTATTCACAATTTTTGCTTGGTATTCCAGAATTTTAGGCTCATAATGCTATGGTTCTGGGGGACTGCCTCCACCAAGAGACATAGCTAAAGTCATTTTAGAGTCCTCATGTTAGACCAGTGGGCAGAAAAGGAAAGCACTATTCTGACAGGGTTAATTGAGTTTGATCATCATGCAGCAGTAAAGTAGAGGCAGAGAGGAATATATTTGGAATTCACATTATCCATTTGAATGTCTCTTAATATTTCCATGTTCAATTGTAACTGTAAATGGACAAGGACAGCGACTATATCCTGCTAAGGGCATGGAAATGAGACTCAGAACCTTTAGAGGTGAGACTCAGTTCAACCCACCAGCCAAATCATTGTAGGAAAGGACAAGTAATTTTCCCTCACCCTTCCAGGTTCTTGGCTGAGACCTACCTCCCCACCCATAATAAAACACAAATTAACAGGAGGGAAAAAAAATTACATATGTACTTACCTGCCGGAGCCCCACAAAGATACAAGATTCAGAAGGCAGCCAGATAATTGAGGCTTATATACCATCCTGAGCTAAGGAAAGGGATGGGGCTCTAGGGCTTCAAAGAGGGGAAGGCAACTCATGGTAAAGCGAGAAGAGGAAATATTTGGTAAACGAAAGTTGTCCTGCCATGTAGATAAGTGTCTGTTAAAAAGTTATCTCTGGTAATTGTTCTTCTTTGGGTATAGGCCCCCTTTTAATGTAAATTTCCTTTATAAATGTAGATTTCCCTTAAAAATAGGCAACTTCTATTCTATTTTCAGAGCTTCTCCTGTATTTCCAGTTTCTTAAAAAACAGCTCAAAATAATCATACCAATTTATACCAAAGAAGCATATTTTGGGGTGGCATAGTCTGCTACTCTTCATGACCCAAACCAGCAGAACTGCCTGCCAAAAGGTAGGGAAACTCTACAGGCGTGACCATAAAGTATGGAATCATGGCAAATATAAATGATTTATTGTTAATATGTTATAATACATGGTATGTTGAATAGTGAAATAGTGAAAATGTTGGGTATAGCATTCTATAATCAACTAGATAGAATAATGGCTTCCAAAGATGTAAACATCCAAATATTTAGAACCTATAACTCTATTACCATTTGTGACAAAGGGGAATTGAAGATCGGATTAAGTTAAGGATTTTTAGATAGGGAAATTTTCCTGGATTGTCTGTCAGGACCCTAGAGAATCACAAGGGTCCTAATAAGAGGGAGGGAGTTTTCACTTGTTAACAATGTAAAATTTTTGTCAATCCCTGTACATGTAACTGTGATGTGTTGCTTCACTGATTTTCACTAAAAGAAAAAATTTGCTCCTTTAGCATACCACATATGTAAATAAAGTGATTCACTCTGTTAAAGGAGAGACAGAGAGATTCCTTATGTTACTAGGTTTTATGGCCACCATGTAACATGGATGGTAGACATAGGAGATGATCATTATCAGTGATAGCCTCAGAACTAGATGCAGCTGTTGGTGCTATAGTTTGGCTGACTAACCTATTCTTGTAGATTACCCCAGAAATTATGACCAAGCAGTTTCCTGCAGAAACTGTGACTAAATGGAATGTACTTACCATAAGAAGCAAAAAATCTAGGTGGTACAAAGGATAGCCTGTGGTGGATGCTATTGATATCCCACTTAGATACCTTTTATTAGCAGGTGCACCCGTCTCCAAGTGTCTTGGTTGTGGGCTAATAATACTTCACAGCTGCCTCTTTCTCTGGAGAATTGTACTCAACTAAAGCCAATTCACTCATCAAGCTCCCCATCTCTACTTCCCCATGAGGAGGCAGACCTCAGCCAATGACTGACCGACAAAGGGTATAAAAGGCTGGCCCCTTTGCCTCAAAGAGGAATTAATTTAAGTGTAATTTTTGCTTGAGAAATTTCCCTGTGGAATCTAGCTGAAATTATTCTTTGTTGCAACCACATACTTGTTTAGTTTTTGATCCTTACCACTCTCCTGCCTCCTTCTTTCCTCTTCTCTGAGACACTCCCTTCTAATAAATCACTTATATTTCTCTGTCTCTGCCAAAGGAAACCTAAGATAATTGGTGAGTTTAGTGTATTTTGTTTGTTGATATAAAGGGTTATATTTGTTCTTAGTTCTGTCATATTTTATTTATGCTTTCTTGTTTTATAGCTTTTTGTTTTTAAATATTTCATTACATAGACTGCTTTACTTTGATGCGTGTATTGCATTTATGTTATGGTGGATAACAAAATGGAGGATTAAGTGTATAAACTTACAATGTGATCCACTTTCAATTTTCTTCTCCCACAGTCTTTTTGTGAAAGAAAACACACAAGGTTTGTGAAAACACACAAAATTTTCTCATGTGTATTTCTTCTATCTGAACTCTCATTTGAAGTTAGTTAAAAATAGGCTCAGATAAATATTTGAAGAAAATGTTTGCTATCTTAATTCAGGAACAGAATGTTATCACATATCAGTAATTGTATAAACACACTTTCTCATACAGAATTACCATTGTTTCATTATTTTGGGGGATACTGAATTATAAATATTAAATTTGTCTTCCATATCTACTATTTTTTCTCTATAACTTTTAACTTTGTGTAATTTTTCTCTTTTTTTTTTTTATTTTTACTAACTCTTACTGTGTTTAGTGGTGTCTCCTCCCCTTTGTGTTGTTTCTGATATGTACCTTCATTTACATGATTTTATTATTTTCCCCTTCTACTTCTTTCCTAAGCCCTAAAAGCATGCATTTCATCTACTCCTGTTACCAAAACATCTCTTCCCTGAATTCTGTTTTCTTTGCTTTGAGTTCTTGTTTTATAATAAAAATTTCATTATTTCTCCTACTTATTTCAGATTTATTTTTTTCTGTCTTTTTAAAGTGAAACCTTAGGTCACTGATTTTAGACCTTTTTTCTTTTAACACAAGCATTTAAAGTGTTTACTTTTCTCTAAGCACTTCTTTAGCCATATTCCACAAATTCCAATATATTGTATGGTTATCATCTAATTTGAAATATATTCTGATTTCCACTGTAATTTTTTTATGCCTCATGGATTACTTAGAGTATGTTGCATAATTCCAAGTATGGCAGGGGGTGGGGGAGGGTTGTTCCTAGATACCTGCTATTCTAATATAAGTCCATTGTTTTTGGTAAACATACTCTGAATGGTTTTAATTCTTATTTATTGAAATAAGAATGGGCCCTTTTTATGGCTCAGCATATGGAACATCTTGATGAATGTACTATGTGCATTTAAAAATCATGCTCTGTAGTTGTTGGGTATAGCATTCTATAATCAACTAGATAGAATAATGGCTTCCAAAGATGTAAACATCCAAATATTCAGAACCTATAACTCTATTACCATTTGTGACAAAGGGGAATTGAAGATCGGATTAAGTTAAGGATTTTTAGATAGGGAAATTTTCCT